GTTTCTTGACGTCATTGGCCAAGTAGAGGTTAAAATGCCTCTTGTGGATGTGATGATTGAGATGCCGAAATATGGCAAGTTTTTAAAGGATCTTGTAACAAAGAAGAGAGACTGGGAATAATTTTTAGTGGTAAGTCTGAATGCGGAATGTTTTGCCCTCCTACTCAAGGAAATTCCAAGAAAGCACAAAGACCCAAGTTGCTTTGTTATTCCCTATACAATTAATGATAAAACGTTTAATGATGCTCTGGCAGACCTCGGAGCGAGCATCAATTTAATGTGTTCCTCTATATCAAACTCATTAGGGTTTATTATACTTGAACCCACTCAAATGTGCCTTCAATTCGTTACCCGAGGGGTGTTATTCAAGATGTGCTTGTGAAGGTGAATGAGTTCACACTCCCTGCTGATTTCGTTGTACTAGATATAGAGGATGATAAGGGCTCCTACTAGGGTGACCATTTCTTGGCACTTCTAAGGCATTAATTAATGTTCATAACGGGGAGCTGACCCTAAGAGTAAGGAATGACGATGTAACATTCAAGATGATGAGTGTAATGAACCGTACTCCGGACCAGCTGAGTTCTGTAACTCAGTTAAAAAAATTAAAGATAAAGGGTCTATTGAGGATCTCTTGAGCTTGGAAGCAGCCTTCTAAGAACCTAAGTGTGAGGAGGTACGTGGAGTATGTGACCAATGTGAACCCACTAAGGAGTCAAAACCCTTAGAACTTAAACCACTACCCGCACACCTAAAGTATGATTTCCTAGATAAAGAGGGCCAATGCCCTGTTTTTATTGCAGCTGATCTGACATGCGACCACGAGAAGAAACTTTTGGCACTCCTTCGACAACACAAACAGGAAATTGCTTCAAAGTTGGAGGATATCCAAGGGATAAGCCCTACCTACTACACTCACAAGATCGCCATCGAATAAAGGTTTAAATCAGTTGTCCAGGCACAACGTAGGTTGAATCCAAAACTAATGGAGGTAGTACAGAAGGAGGTCTAAGACTCTTAGATGCGGGTATCATTTACCCCATTTCGGATAGTCAGTGGGTGTTAGCTAGTTCCGGGCAGAACTATGACTAGTTGGCAAATGGTCATAGATTATAGGAAACTAAATAATGCCACTAGAAAAGACCATTTCCCACTTCCTTTGGATTTATAAATTTATTGAAAAACTAGCCGATGATGCATACTACTGTTTCTTAGATGGTATGAGTGGATACATCCAAATTCATGTTAATTTAGAAGACCAAGAGAAAACCACATTCACTTGTCCTTTTGGTATGTTTGCCTTTCGGCGAATGTCCTTTGAGCTCTGTAATGCCCCTGTCGCCTTTATGAGGTGTATGATAGCAATCTTTGAAAATTTTATTGGGGATTTTATGGAAGTCTTTATAGACGATTTCTCCATCACAGGGAAGTCATTTGACGAGTGTTTGGGTAATCTTGAAAATGAGCTAATAAGATGTAAAGAGACCCACTTAGCCTTAAGCGGGGAAAATGCCAGTTTTTGGTTAAGTAGGGAATTGTGCTAGGGCACAAGGTCTCCAGCTGTGGGGTGGAAGTTGACCAAGAAAAGATTGAGGCTATTGAAAAACTTCCACCACCTAACTCAGTTAAGGCCATTTGCAGTTTCTTAGGCCATGCTGGATTCTACCGTAGGTTTATAAAAGACTTTGCTAAAATAGCAAATCCCCTGACGGCCTTGTTAAAAAAAGGTGTAGAGTTTATCTTTACTGAAGAATGCTTACAAGCCTTCAATACTTTAAAGGAAAGGTTGATTACAACTCAAGTCCTCATAGCCCCAGACTGGACGTTACCCTTTGAATTGATGTGTGGCACTTGCGACCTAGTAGTGGGAGAAATTCTTGGCCAAAGGAAAGATAAGATCTTCCATCCCATATACTACGATAGTAAGACCTTATCTAGAGCCCAACTTAATTACAAAACGACGGAGAAAGAATTCCTGGAAATTGTCTATGCCCTTGAAAATTTTAGGCTTTACATCATTCTTTCTCCAGTTATCATTTACACCGATCATGCGGCATTGCGATACCTGTTGCAAAAGAATGATGCGAAGCCTCGGTTATAACGTTGGGTGTTATTATTGTAGGAATTTGACTTGCAGCTAAAGGACCAGAAGGGGTCAGCCAATCAGGCTGCTGATCATCTGTCACGCTTAAATGTGGAGATAGCAGAAAAGTTTGGCAATTGCAAGGTTAATGAATCCTTTCCTTTTGAAAGGATTAATGATGTCCAGGAAAAGGAACCCCGGTACGCAGACATTGCTAAATACTTAGCTAGCAAAATCCAGCCTACCTTATTATCGCTGCACCTAAGCAAGAAGTTGAAGCGGGAGGCTCATTTCTACTTTTTGGATGATCCTTACCACTTCCAAATATGTGTTGGCCAAGTTGTTAGACGCTGTGTTAGTGAGGCCGAAGGGCAACAGATCATAGCAGCATGCCACAACAGCCAAGTAGGTGGGCACTTTTCACTTGCAAGAACGGCTCGAAAGGTGTTGGACTCTGGTTTCTTTTGGACGAAACTCTTCAAAGGTGCCAACCATTATGTTGCTGCCTGTGATTGCTGCCAAAGATCTGGAAACATGTCTAGGAGGGATGAGATGCCACAACAATACATGTTGCCCTGTGAAGTGTTCGATGTGTGGGGAATTGACTTCGTGGGCCCATTTCCAAGTTCCTATAGCTACAAATATATCTTCGTTGCTATTGACTACGTCTTGAAGTAGGATGAAGCCCAAGCATGCAAGAAAGATGATGGGCGGACCGTGGTCCGATTCCTAAAGAAGCTTTTTTCGAGATTTGGAGTCCCAAGGTTGATAATAAGTGACAAGGGTACCCATTTTCATAACAAACCCTTGTCGAAGGCTCTGGAATGCTACGGTGTTCAAAATAGAGGAGTGGCATACCACCCCCACAAACAGGGGCAGGTGGAAAATGTGCATAGGGACCTACGGAGGATTTTGGAGGAAACAGTTGTTTGCACGAGAAGGGATTGGAGTGAATGTAACACCCCGGCCCCCATCCTGGCCGTAAGTGTTCGCTCAAAGGATTATAGACTGGCCCCACAAACCAACACAAGTCTTTTCCCGCGCACTTTGTCCTCACTCAATCGCGCCCAAGGAAACTTCCCAGGGGGTCATTGTTGGGAAAAATATCATAGATTTTGATGATGATGTATTTAGAATGTAATAGGGACTTTAGGTCTCCCTCAATATTCAATGTAATTTTTCTTTTTTAGAAATATTGTCAAAACCAAGCTCTTGAGATTTCCAATAAAACTGTGATATTTCTTTAAGCGTTTTGATGCCTGAAGACTTAATCAAATTGAGTGATATGGAAATTGGATATCTTAATCGGAAAAGCTAGAGACAAGTAAGGATTTCTCAATCAGATAAAAATCCTCAGATCCGGAAAGACTACATAAGAACCGGATGTCTCGCTACAACCCGCTGAAGGCTAAGTCATTCAAATCGGAAGACTAGCGCGGATCTCCTTCTCACCCGGAAGTCTGAAAAAGACTCATCCGGATTTGTCAGCTAAGAATCGGAAGACTCACCGAAGACCGGAATTCTCAGAAAGCGGACAAGTGAGAAAAGGCTTAGAAAATCATCTAAGTCCTGAATGAAGAAATTCTACCCGTGGCAAGGAAAAATCAATCTCTTGATTTTCAACGGCTAGATTGAAGATAATTNGAGTAAAGTGCTACAGTCTTGAATTCTTGAACAACGGCTAGAAGACGGATTTTGGGGAATCCTTTCTCAACAATTGGGTAAATCCAAACACCCACTTCAACGAAGAATCTTCAAATCACAATCTTCATTCAAAATTGAAGCCAGCAAATGCAACGGATAGTCCATTATGATTCAACGGATAGATTATCCAATCCAGCTATAAATAGCATCCTTGGAAGACTGAAGAGAATATGATGAGATACGCTGATACAACAACACAACGAAGCAATCACTAAAGCTATCTCATTCACAGTTAGCCCAAAAAGCTTGATAAAGAGAGATTTCTAAACTCCCTATCCAGAAGCAAACTTCTCACTCATGCGCGCCCAAGGAAACTTCCCAGGGGGTCACCCATCCTAGAATTGCTCCAGGTCAAGCACGCTTAACTCATGAGTAGTACTATCAATTCTTTTGAGCTCTTCCCTTTTCCATCTTGATACGGGGTATTACAGTGAAAATCTTGATGATGCTTTATGGGCATTTCGAATTGCGTATAAGACACTTATTGGAACAACTCCGTTCCATTTGATCTATGGGAAGTCATGTCACTTACCGGTGCAAATTGAGCACAAGGCGTTATGGGCCTTAAAGAACGTTTGCCTGAACATGTCTGAAGCAGGTAGGGATAGATTTTACCAACTTGATGAGCTAGATGAGTAGCAATCATTGGCATTTCATAATGCTGAACTATACAAGGAAAGGATAAAACTCTATCATGATGCTCTTATCAAACAAAGTAGAGTTTTTCATTAAGGAGACAAGGTGCTGCTCTACAACTCTCAGTTGAGGTTATTCCGGAGAAAGATCCGATCAAGATCGATAGGATCGTACACTATCACTATACTAGAGTCTTTCCTTATGGGACCCTCGAAATACAAGGGGACTCCAGGACGTTCATCAAGGTAAACGATCAACGGGTAAAATGGTATTTGGGAGAGCAGTACCAGAAGAACAAGGTGGAGATCAAACTCCAAAACGAATGATTCAATTGCGTCAAGCTAGTGACGTTAAAGAAGCACTGAACGGGAGGCAAACTTTTATATTTCCTTTATTCTTCTATTTTTTCTATTACTTTTTATTTTATGTTGGATGAAAAGAATGGAGACTTGTCGCACTTTTGAGGGGGAAATATTTTATATATTTGTTTCATGTGCCAATGCCTCACCGAACAAAGTTCCCCTCTGTTGCACGAGCCGATGTTCATTTAGTTGGCTCTAGACCCATCGAGCGGTTCGAGACATGGGGGCGCCACCGCACAATGACAGAGTCTGTGTACCTTTCACCGGCAATCCTTGCCGACTCTGGGTATGCGGAAGACATGGAGCATGTTACTCCATGAGACCAGGTGGGAGCGGCTCATCATGATGCGAGCCGAGTCTAGCCTGCCATTGACTATCGAGTTATTGTGCTCCTTAGAGGTGGATCCATCCTATGGCTCGCGGACGCTGAACATTCACGCCACCGACTCTCACACGACTCTGGCCTTCACTCTCTTGGGACATGTGTATCGTCTGACAGTTGGGGAGCTGGCAGGGCATTTGGGTCGCTACACTTTGGAGGAGACGATGGATCAGGAATTCCATGAGGCACCATTCCTTTTTCCCGAGAATGTTGACCGGGTTGCTTTTTGGGCAGAGCACTCTTCTAACCCGGAGCTGTTTGATGTTATGAGCCGGGCGAGGTTCTAGATCCAACCGACTTGGCAGATCTTGTCTTTCATGTTGTCGGTGTCCTTATTCAGAAGGCTGTTGAAAACTGACCGGGTGTATGCCGACGACCTCATCGTCTTCTAGAGCTTGCACACACGTTAGCTTGCGAACATGGCTGTCTTTCTAGCTCGATTTCTGTACAGCTAGTCGTTGGGGAACCAGGCGCACATCGTCTATGGCTTTTTGGTTACGCAACTCTTCTGGTCCCTCGTGAGTGCCGCGCCCATTCCGCAGGTCAGATGCTGATGCGAGACTTAGACGTGGGCATGCTGCGGGATGCTCATATTCGTAGGAGCTTGGGATCTAGCTCTTCTGAGAGCAACACTGCCTCATCCTCTACACCAGTCACATCAGGAGCATCTTCCCAGCCCCCGTCTAGGAGGAGCCACTCGTCATCGTCGCGCCGCCTCCCGAGCCACTACATCCACTTCTCGAGAGGAGCCAACCCCTGATTGGGCCTGAAGGGTCTTGGAGCAGCAGGACACCATTATTCGGACTATGGCCACTATGGAGCAGCTCCAGACATCCCAGGCTAAGAGGTTTGCTCAGCTGCGGAACGTTTTCTCCAGCTTCTATACAGATGTGCACACTGGTCTCACGCCATGTCCTCTTGAGGGAGATGATCTCTCCTCCTCTGCCCCTCCCCAATGATTTCTCATTTTCCCTTTTATGCACATCTTATTCTTTTTATTTATGAGCAGGAAATTGATGCTCGACTCGCTTAGTTGGAACTTCTTATTTTTCCTCTGGCAACATTTATTTATGAGCTTGTTTTATTTCTATTTCAATCACTTGTTTGAATAATTGATGTGTGTTATTTCTTTTATTATTAGTCAAGCATTCCAACCACATTTTATACTCCTAAACATTTTTTTCCAACCACGTGGACGCGGTTGTGTTCAAGTGTGAGTAGGAGAAATATCTGGTTGAAATGTCCGAATGGGAATTGTTTTACATGCATACTTGCAGGAAGTTTTGTTTATCTTAGTCATCAATCCAACTTGGGTAGTTATTTGATAGATTGTCGTCCATAAAAAAGGGAAATTTCTAAACTTCTTGTCAAACTTTTATTTTTACTCTATTTTTTTCAAATAGCCTTCTAATATTCTTAGAATATATTAGTATTTTCTTAAGTTTTTCTTAGATAAAATGGTTTTTATTTCCTTCTAGAAAAATTGATTTTCTCAGAATTTTTGGCAAGATATAAAGGTCTATATACAATAAAAAATACTTTTTAAAGTTCTCTAATGTAATTTTTATTGTGATTGCGCTTAAGCGACGAATTGGAAAGTCTATCTCCGTAAAGGGGCTCTGCTTCTCCCGCAAATTATATAAAATGAGGGAGTAAGTATGCATATAGAATAAATCTACATTCTCAATTGAGAAATCATGTTTCCGTGAAATGAGAATTTCTCTCATCGAGATGCATTATAAAAATAATAATAACAGACCTTTGTGTTTTAGCAGTTACTCTTTGAAAACTTCTTTTTGTGGGAAGCCGTCAAATTCCTTTTCGATCTTAAAAATTTCTTTTTGAGAATACAATTATTTCAATAACACTTTAGAAGTGTTTGATTTAATCAAGTAAAAACACTAGCTTGACAAAAGATTTTCATATTTCCAACGGTACGGGAGAGAACTCTAAAAAATGCAACTACTTGACAAGGATTGATGATTACATTATTCAAATTTTCCTTATGACTATGCAATTAAAAGCTCTTTTCAGTGATATCAAGAAAATTTCATATCCTTAACTGTTCAAATTTGTTGTTTGAGGGCTAGTAACGTTTAAGTGTGAGGAATTTGATTAGTCCATTTTGTTCTTATTTTCTTCTACATATTTTAAGCGTTGTTGCACAAAAATATTAATAAATCAGTTCATAATTACATGTTAATACGAACAATATTTGTTGGTTTGTTCAAGAAGGAATGATAATTGGTTGTAAAATAAATCAGTTTAGATTTTCAACTTTTTATTCATATTTATGAGAAAAAGAAACTTCAAGATGAGAATTATTATCAAGAGAATCTCGAGAGAGGCAAAAATAGTGTTCGAGGAGATTTGTACATAAAACCAGGCCCAAAATGGAACCAAGTCGCACAGCCCAAAGGAAACGGATCTGAAGCGTCCAACCCTTGGACACTTTGCAGGTTGGACGCTTGACGTGGATTACTTTCCAAGGCTGACACGTGGCAAAAGAGGAGTGGCCGGGATAGCTATGGCATCGAGATTTGGACGCTACATGTTGGACTCTTGGGGTTGGACACTTCACATTCGACCCTGTATAAACAACGTCTCTCTCCCAGTTTTTTTCATTCCATTCATTTGGATTTTTGCTATTTTTCCTCCCTTTAAAGAGTTTCGAGCTCTCTTCTCACTTTATAATTTAGTTTAGTTGTTTTTGGAGTTTTCTCGCTGCAAGTTGTATCCTATTTCTGCGAAATCATAAGAGTACGTTTTCTCTCATTTTAGTTATCAATTCAATTATGTCTTTCTTTTATGAATGCATGTTTAGATCCACTATTATGAGGAACTAACTTTATTAGGGATGTGATTCATACTAGGGTAATGGTAATTTTTAGATGAAATTATGTTGGAATATTGTTCTATAAGTTAATTACTAGTTGTTTTTTTTGCAAACAAGCACATCATTTTATTCCAACAAAAACATCCAACAGACTTACATCTTTCCTCAAGGGATTTAAATCCTACTACAATTACTAGTTGTTATTATTGTGAGTTTTTATTGTGATTAATTAATTGAGAAATTATTAATGAAATCTTGAATTGATAACTAAATGATTAGTTTAAAGTTATTCCGACGAATAAAAGTAGTCTATAAATAGCCATTTCCTGAAAATGAATTACATATTTGAGAACTAATAAAAGTAGTCTATAAATAGTCTATTAAACCGTGATATAAATCACCACCTTTTTAAGGCTTCGATATTTGAGAACTTTCCAAATCAATTGGTAAACCTTGTTAAGGTACAATCCTACTGTCACTTTCCCTTGGGCCGATTCTAGAGACAACATGGGGATAAACTAATCTACGGTCAAGTCGATTCCCCCTTTACTACAAAATCTTTTTATCAATCGTGTAGTTCAATGACACCACTATGATTATCCCAAATGAGTGACCATCTACTCGATCCCTAATGAGGGCAATAACTCAACAGGCTTCAATAGATTGAGAATGCATGAACAAATACTATATTACAATAGAGTTATTAATGTTAAAAAACATGAGTTTGGATTTGAATATTAAACAAATACGTGTACGAATATAGTGATAATCCTGTTTTTAGAAGCACCGATACTAGGGAAAGCACTCCAAATTAGGGTTGTTCAAGTTTAGGTTCGGACTGAAAAACTAATCGAACCATACCATTAGGTCCATACCAAACTCGGACCAATTGGATTTCGGGTCGGTTTTAGTCCAAACAAATTAAGCATTCGGGTTTCGATCCGTTATGGTCCAAACCTGAAATGATTTATGTCCGGACCGATTGGACGAAATGAATCTAATAAGTAAAATTTGCTCTAAATAGGACTAAAACATAATGTCTTTCCCAATGTAGGACTTAAACTTTTTTATTCCCTAAATAGGACTTAATAATGACCTAGTGGGAAGAATAATGTCTAGTAATGATGGACATTTACTTGAATAATGACTACATGATAATGACCAAAAGTCCTACACTGGGAAATAAAAACATATGGTCCTATATTGGGAAAGTCATTATGTTTTAGTCCTACTTAGGTAAATTTCTCATCTAATAACCCTATTGGACCTAAATGATCAAAGAACTAAAGCTCTACTTTTAAAGTTTGATATTACACGTTGATGCCCTATTTTGATACTCCCTCCGTCCATTTTTAATGTTCGTTCTTTCCTTTTTCGTCCGTCCAATAATAATGTTTCTATTTCTATTTTTGGAAAATTTTTTACATTAAAAAGACAAAATTACTCTCATTACCCACTCCTATCTTTTCTTTTTTTCCTTTCTCTCCCGTCCATTCGGATCTTATCTTCTTTTTTCTTTCTTTCCCGTCCTCACTTCTCCCTCTTTCTTTTCTTTTCTTCCCTTCCTCATCATCTTCTTCTTCCTTTTCTTTCTTTCCTATTTTTCTTCTTTCTTCTTTCTTTTCTTCTCTCTTCTTCGTTATCTTCTTTCTTTTCTTGTTTCTTCTTTCTTTTCTTCTCTTTTCTTCGTCATCTTCTTCTTTTCTTCTTTCTTTTCTTTTCCTTTTCCCCTCTTCTGATTTTGTCATGTCACCCACTGATTGGGAGTAATGAAGCAGCGGTCGGGGTAAAGGCGGTGCAGCGAGGTGGTGGTGGTGGTCGGAGGTGATGCAGCGATCAGATCTGCTCCTCTTCCAACATAGTTGTCATTGATTCTATAGATCTACAAATCCTCCGTTGCTCCTAGTGCCTATTCACGTCACAATCTTGGATACAAGAGCCAAAGAATTCGTTCGAAGTAGTGCCGGACAGTCGTCGGCGACTGTGCCGGAAAGTTTGTGTCGATGCTGGAGAGTCGCCGGTAGTGAGTTGGGAATGAGAGATGGTCACGAGTGGAGGGTGTAAAGTTGTAAAGGTGTAGGGGTATAATAGGAAAGTCAATGAAATTTTTATCACTTATTAATATGCGTGTCCGGTCAAACTAAAAACATTAAAAATGGACGGAGGGAGTAGATATCTTAATTTATTTAATTAAGAAAGCTTTTTATTAAGTAATTTTTTTAACAATTCAAAAGAAAAATATTTCACATCTGTTTTTAGGATTATACATAAAAATAGTCAATGTTGTGCATATATTTTTAGTTTGTTCATATTTTTTTTTATATTTTTTCATATTTGCACGGTACAAATAAAAAAGCCAAAAACATAATTAATAGATCAAAATAATTAAAAATATATTTTTTGGTCCAACTGGTCCGGACCGATTCGGTCCTAAGTATTTCGATCTGGTCTGGTCCATACCCGAATAGATTTAAATCAGTCTTCGGTCTGCGATTTTGTTCAATTCAGTCTTTGGTCCGATCTAGTTCGATCTAGTCTTGGACCGATGAATAGCCCTAGCCCAAATCCTACTCATACATTGTTCTTATCTAATGACTAAGGTTTCTTCATTTGGGTTGGAAAAGTTAACTTCCAACGTTTTTCAATTCCTTCGAATTTCTTCCTAATCGTTTTACTTTCTTTCAGCTTTTTCCAACAACCACTAAAAAAGTGCTAACATCCTGATGAATATACAATAACATCATATTTCATAATTTATAATATACCACCTCAAAAGTAGACAAAGATGAATTCTTTTTTTTCCAAAATTACTTTTCGTTACATATTTATTTGGGTGATTATTTAATTGAGTGACCTTTTAAAACTTTATTTTTTCCAACATTTTTCAACTCCACCAATTTTTTTTAACTTCTTCCAGATTCTTCTAATATCACACTCTGTTTTTATAAACCAAACGAACAGAGCCTAAGATTAAGTGATTATTTAGGATTCAAAAACCCATAAAAAAAATGAAATGAAAACCCAAAACCCCAAAAAAAAGGAATCGCACTTCATGATTTCACTTAATAAAATTTGAAAAAAGTATTTAAAAAGTAAAAAAGTTATTGATTATACTCTATAATGTTTTGAATATGAGAGAAAACTTGTAAGTCATATGGTTTATTCCTTACCTGGCAAAATAGAACTAGAACCGATTACCCGAATCGAATTATTTGAAACCAAAATTGAAATGATCCAAACCAAATCGAAACCGAACTAAATAATTCATATCCGATTTAAATCCAAACCTGATTAGATCCGAAATTGATCATATCTGAACCGATTATACCCAAAATCAATTAGATCTGAAACTGATAATACTCAAAACTCATAAAATATGAAACCGATTAGAACTGAATAAAAATAGAACTGAAATTAAAATCGATCCGAACCAAACCAAACCAATTATAACATATATTTGAAAGATATCCAAAGCAAAAAATTCAATCTAGAATTAATCTAATTGACTCGATTGCCACCTCTACCTAATATGAAAGCGAATGACTGTAGCACATATTCTTCATTTGAATGGTACCAAAAAAGTGAGTTGGCTTATGAATAGGAAATCGTGCCTGGTCCTTGTAAATGTCTCATATTTTGCATGGTGTCTCTCATCGCAGCCATCAGGCTTCAAACTCAGGATTTCTATCTTGTAGTACGTTTATGCTAACCGCTGAGCTACACTTCACAGACTTATAAGTTTCACTATGTTACCTATGTTTAGTTGAACATAGTTCAACAATCGATAGCCCCGCAGAGACTTCGTACCTCTACGCATGCTAATTCGTTTCAAATTCGTTGAACATAGTTCAACGTTCAACTCATTCACAGACTTTGCTCGTCTCAAATGAGTTGAACTATGTTCAACGAATCGTTCAACTCACTTAGCCACTTCGTTTAGCATAGTAAAACGTCCCTCTGTCGGGCAACTTCGTACCTCTCCTCTCGTTGGTCATACCTCTATGCAAGCTATAGATTCGTTGAACATAGTGAAGGAGAGATGCTAATCCCAGAAAAATGATACGAGAAATTAGAAATAATTCATATACGGAATGAGGGTGACTCGTGAAAATACATCAATTTCTTATTAGCAGTCCAATGCATTTTCATTATGTTACCTAGCCAAAATCACTACCTCATGTGTCAAAGTAAAACAGCTTACACTTTTTAAAGAAAAGTTGAAAACTATTAATGAAAATGGATGAAGTATATATTAAATGATGTGGTTGACATGTAATAAATAAAAAGAGCGTGTAGTGTTTTAAATATTAAAAAAGAGTAAATTCCATAAAAGGTCCCCAGTTATAGGTCGTTTTACATATTTAGTCCCTACATATCAAATATTACTAATTTAGTCCCCAATTATTATATTTATTTTCACGAATGGTCCTTTGTTAACATTTCCAATAAGAACGTGGATAAAATTATAAATTCACACTCCTTTTTCTCCTCAATTAAGCTTCCTCCATCCCCTCGCACTCCTTTTCCAAACCCGTCGCTGAGTTTGAAGCTTTGAACCCAGAACCGAAATCATCACTCTTCTCTCAATTGTTTGTCTAACAAGTGGAACCCAAATTCGAAACCAGTAACCTTCATGGATGATTTTTAATGTTTATTTTCTTTGCAATTTCTTGAGACTAACCGATAAAACTCATCCATAAAGTTTAATGGTTTTGATTTTAGGTTCCACCAAGAAGACTAATAATTGAGAGAGAAAGATCATTTCAGTTTTGGGTTTAGAGATTCAAACTCCGCGACGAGTTTGGGAAAGAGTACGAGAGGAGGGAGGAAGCTTAATTGAGGAGAGAGCAATATGAATATACAATTTTATCCATGTTCTTAACAAAAACGTTAACAAAGGATCATTCGTGAAAAATGATATAATAATTGGGGACTAAATTAGTAATATTTGATACGCAGGGACTAAATATGTAAAACGACCTATAACTGGGGATCTTTTATGGAATTTACTCGTTAAAATATTATAAGGAGATCTTTTCTAGACAAAAAAATGTATTTGGATAGATCTTTCCTAAATACTCCCTCCGTCCCGTTTTAAATCGCTCGTTTTGACTTTGGGCATATTTAAGGAAAATTAAAAATAGAGTTGATTTTCCGAAATTGTCAATATTTTTTAGGAGGGATGATGATGAATAAGAATATAATGTGGAGAAGATTGATTTATTTTAGAGGTAGTTTAGGTATTTTATTTTTAAAAGTTTACGAAAACAACTAACAGACAACTTATTTTGGGACGGGGAAAAAAAGGCAAACATACAATTTAAAATGGGACGGAGGTAGTAATTATTTTGAAGATGTTCAATAGTCAAAATATTGTTCTCTCTCCCATCTGAAAAGAATATTTAAATAATACTCCGTACTATACAATAATGCCCAAATCTCTACGACACTTGTTGCAAAAGTAAAAGGTTTAAAGAATGTTTTACAGGCTCTTTTTTAAAATTTCTATGACACTCCAGCGAAAAACAAGATCAGTGTATATTCCTATGACGCTTTTTGCCACAAAAAAACCATTATGCTATGTGTACCCCAAGGTTTGTACCCCAATTTGTACCCCACAGTTTTGCACCAACACTTTATGTTGGTGTAAAACTAATTTTTGTTAAACGCACCAACATTTGTGTCCGTGTGAATTTTTATTAACGCACCAACACTTGTGTCGGTGTAAACCATCGAAATGTTTGTGCAAACCTGTGGTGTATAAATGGGGTATATTTTTTGGTGTAAGTGTAGAATGGTCCCAAAAAAAACTAAGAATGTTTTACACTTTTTTCCTATGACACTTTTTGCCATATCAGTATGTGTTTATTATCACTGCAAGAATGTTTTGCATTTAGAAAAAGTTACTGGGAAATACGATTTAATCTTTCTATTTGATTTTTTATGGTCAAAGTTTATAAATTTTGAGCTTGACATATGAAAAAAATCATTGTGTCATCAATAACCTGATTTATATATAGTCAAAGTGACAGTCATTGCTAACATATTTTATACACTTGTAAAAATAAGATTTCTTTGGGATACAAAGCGCAGACGAGAATTCTTCCCGAATAAAAAGAAGCTAAATGTCTTGAATAGGAGTGTGGTGCGTTGTTATACTTTCCTTGGAGTTGGACACGTATATACTTTTTTATTTGGATAGATTTACCCTTTTCTTATTTTTTTAAAAAAACTATCATCTCTCAAACAACATGCAAAGATCAGTTCTTTTAAATTAATTTAAATAAAAATTACAAATTACATATTTAAAAATTATATTGTTTTCTTGAACTTTCGTCGTAACATATACTCTCTATTGTAGGCGTATTCAAAATTTGCATCCCTATTTCTATTTTGTTGCTTTGGTGCAATCAAAGTTCATTGATAATGCTAACATCATATATATGAGAGTAATTAGAGTGTTAATTACTGTTCCGTCCCAAATTAAATATCAATTTACTATTTACAAGGTCAAGCTCCATTTCTTTTTTTATTTTCGTTAGTCATATGAAAAAATAATTTAGTCTTGTCACCATTAATTTTGTAGATTTTTAATCTAGTTTTTAAATATGTAATTTTTTTTTAATTTTTGCTGTTTTTCATATAAAATGATTTGAAAATAACTTCAGTCAAATATCGTAAACCAAAACAAGCAATTTAAATTGAAACGGATGGCGTAATATATTGTAAATTGTTTGGTCACTGGTAATAATTTCGTTGCTTTCCTTTGTAGATTGTGTTCTTTTAGTGTTTTCTTCTACCTCATGTTATCTAAGACTATTCCCAATGGGAGACTTGAAGATTCTAAAATGTACTCAAAAAATGATGAGAGAAGAGAGGAGTGAGAATAGTTGGAAGAGAGGAATGGAAGAATCCCTTTATTGATTGATTTACATTAACAAATACAAGTACCAGTGTTTTCCAATCTAGGAAATTTTCAAGCGAAAAATATATATATTTTTCCAAAAAATAACACCAAATAATGTCTGCAAGCCAAGAACACTGAATAGTAACAAAAATTGGAGATGCTTCAGCCTCAAAAACACATTTGAAGTCTCTGGGTATGGCTCGTGCAATGCAGAGGCAAAATGAGATTGTTATAATTATTCATCTCCTACTGGGTGTATTTCAATCTACTCTACTAGTTACAACAAGAGAAAGGGAGCATTACGTGAAGAATGACAAATTCGGAAAGAAAGCAGTTTTATAATGGAGGAATGCCTCGAGGAAGTCTTCTTTCTACACTACCAAATCTTTGAGGTGGCCAGACAATGTGTGTGACCCTGCCACAAATTAAACCTAAAGGGACCTGGCAGTTCGGTGTAAGAATGAATGTTATTACCAATCCAAAACATAATGATGCAATTTCTAGCTGCAACAGAAAGTGTCGAGTTGTGTGGGTGGGTGGGTTGGGTGGGAGGGAGGGGGGGATGATGGCTGATTGTGAATGTGTGTGCCATGTTGGTTAAGACTTGAGACACTACTTACAGGTCCATGAGATCTCGAGTCTAAGCTGTGAGGTGCATTGTCACCTTCAACCCAGCAATGGCCTTCTGGTACAATCACCGCATCATATGAATCTTCTTGTGTACTGATCAAATCACCAGGTAGCCCTATTATCCTTTTGATGTTTCTCTTATGGTGATCAGAAGGAGATCTTAAAAGAAGAAAAAGAAAAACATCAATATAAAGTCATCGTTCAAAGAAGTCGAAAGATAGAAAGCTACACACTAAATCTCTCGCAACAAAAACACAAATATTACAATGTATAGCACGCCTTAAGAAACTAATGCTCATAGGTCATCATGTTTTTTTTGTACAACTTGTCTATTGGCCTCAAATTCCAACAAATAAGAAGAGTTAAAAGTTCCATACTCAGATTCTTCATTCATGCAGTAGAGAAGTGAGCTTTTGATTTGTACAAGGGATGCACTTACACAAGTGAATAGGATACTTCCAGTGAGAAGATCATTTTACCTGAAGACCACCACATCACCTTTAGAAAACTTGTACTTTTCAAGGCATAGTTTCTCCAATAACACACGGTCCCCTAGATGATGAGGTGAACATAGTGAAAAAACAGCCCAATGTGGGAAAGTGCATGGGATAATAAAAATACAGAATGAATGTATATTACGAGTCAATGGTCCATCTCCATGAGGGTTAAATGTTGGATACATAGAGATGCCTTTAATGGAAATTAGACTGGCATAACGATCGGACACAGTAATGCCAAAGAGGCCCCCGGTAAAAATGTACTTAGTGGTATCCCAAAGAAACTTTAGCCTTCCCATATTTTTACCGCCTATTTCCAAAATCTGAAATGCAGCAAAGCTCTCTGCAACACCAACATTTGTGGCAACAATTATAAAACTGAAGTTAGTAGATATCTATACACATGTTAAAGGAAAATGAAAGTCGCAATACAAGATCCCATCAAACAGCCACACCATCCTACAGTGAAATGCCAAAACATCCCTGTAATCTGCCAGGGATCTAATTACCATACCAAATTTTTACTTGTAATATAGAATTTAGTAGGTGAGACTAAGCAATGCCTGAAGGAGACAAGTTTCGGTACCTTGAGTTGGCTGGGAAGATTGATGGGGATATTGTTTGCCATATTCCGGCTTGGAGCTACTTGGGCGATGTGGAGGCTAGCTTCAGGTGTCCTTTATAACACGAGGATAACATCTAACATGAAAGGGAAGTTTTGTTGACAGTGGTCAGACCGACCATGTTTATACACAGCAGAATGCTGAGTTGTGAAGAAAACTCATGTTGGCCATCTTCAAGTGGCAGAAATGAGAATGCCGAGGTGGATGCGTAGTCATACAAGGATGGATAAGATTTAGAATGAGGTTATTCAAGGTACGGTGGAAGCGGTACCTGTGGAGAATAAGTTGTGAGAAGTTAGACTGAGGTGATTTGGACACAATAAGAGTGCAGAGGTCCATGTAAGGAGATGCAAGAGGGTTGCGGTAGACGGAACACAAAGGGGTAGAGGTAGACCTAGAAAGTGTGGAAAGAAGATAATTAGATAGGACCTATAACTTCAGGATCTTACTGAAGATATGGTCTTAGATACAAAAGTCTAGAGATCTAGGAATAAAATAGTTGGACAAACTATGGACCTTAATTTGTAGCTTATGATGGTGTACTTTTTTGCCTTAGTCTATAGTGTGTGCTTGTGTGCTTTTTGCACTTTATGTGTAGTTCTAAGAGTCGATTTGTATGCTTATTTTGTCTATGTTCGTACTTCGTTCCTGCTTCAGTGGTTTTTTTGTTTGTGTTTCTATAATTGAGTTGTGATCTCTTGGAAATAGTCTCTCTACGTCATAGTAGAGAAAAAGCTTGCATACACACACACACCCTCACCTGGCCCTATTTTTTGTGGGATTCTAATGGGTTTGTAGTTGTTGTTGTAGACCAACATCGCTAGAGTATTGTAATTTTAATTTTGGGACTACTTTCAAGGAAAGTTTTTAGAGTACAACAACAACCTAATAGAATCCCACAAAAGTAGGGTCCGGGAGAGTGTGTGTACGAAGACCTTACCCCTACTTGAGAGTAGAAAGAATGTTTCCAAGAGACCCTAGCTCGAGCAAAACAGAAAGTACATTGCATGATAGAAAAAGAATAAAAAGTAGATTAAGGACAGTAAAAGCACAGGAAGACAACAGACACACAAACAGCTGCAGCAAAATGACCACAAGCCTAAAAAAGAACTACCACCCCTGTAAAATTGACTACCCAACTAGCCTAGTTTTAGCTCTCTAGATGCTCCTATCTAGGGCCATATTCTTGATAAGAACTGGACATCCTAAATCCTGCATAATCACCTCCTTCAAATTCTTCTTAAGTCTATCCCTCCCCCCCACCCACAATAGTAAGCCTCTCACATCTTTGCCTGGGAGTTTAATGCTAGGTCGCTTTACATGACCAAGCCATCTCAACCTAGCCTTTCACAGCATGTCCTCCACACGTGTCACCTCATTCTGAATCATATTCAACCTCGTCTGCCCACACATCCACCACAGCATTCGCATCTTAGCCGCGTAGTTGACGACCATAAAGCATAGCCGGTCTGACCACTAATTGATAGAACTTTTCTTTCATCCTTACTAAATTCTTCTTATCCTTAGGCTTCCGCTTAACACAAACAGCTCCAATTGGTGAATAACTCCTCGGCCATCTGCCCATATCTATAAATGGCCGAGCCAACATACCCAAATTTATCTATTTTAGGCACTGAATGTGAATCAATCCTAACTTCCACTTCTGATTCCGTCACCCAACCTCTGAAGCCTTTACTGACGCCATAACTCCAACTTGTCATTAAGTCATATTGGATCTTGTCGATCAGCACAATATCGACAACAAAAAACATGCTCAAAGGAACTACCCTTTGGGCTTCCTGCAATTCAATATCCATCACCAAAGAAAACAAGAGACTAAGGGCATACGGGCTTAGTGTAACCCCACTTCTATAGGGAAAGAATCAGAGTCGCCCCCTACAATCCAGTCTTCTCCTAGTTCTTGTCCCACTATATATATCTCTGATTGCACGAAGGTATGCAATCAGAACCCCTCTTAATTCAAGACATCTCCATACGATCTCCCTTGACACCCTGTCGTACACCATTTTTAGATCAATGAACGCCATGTGAAGGTTCTTCTTTTTAGCTCTATACTCTTCCATCAACCTCCGCAAGAGGTGAATGGCCTCTGTGGCCGGTCAGTTAAAGCATAAAGCAAAACTCGTTTTTGAAGTTTGATGCCTCTATATTATTGCAGCTCTAGATATCACCCTTCCCCTTGTAAGTGGGATCAACACACTTCTCCTCCATTCGTGAGGCGCCTTTGTCGTCCTAAAAATAACATTGAAGAACTCAATTACCCAAACTAGCCCACTGCTGCCCAAGACTTCCAAAACTCAGCAGCCTTCCAAAACTCCACCAGGATCTCATCCAGCCCCAAGGTTGTCCCTCTTTGCATCCCGAAAATGGCCCTCGTCACCTCTCCTTGACTAATGCGCTGACAATACTCAAAATCTCCATGTTTCTCTGAGCTCTCCTAGCTCTAGCTTCACTTCTCCTGCATTAGAAAAGCCATGGAAGTATTCCCCCCATGGGTTGAACACATCCCCTACTTTGAACAAAACCTTGCCATCATTGCCATTAGACCTGGCGAATCGATCAGTCAAGTCGGGTTCGGTCACTTCGAGTTTGGATTAAATCGGATTCAGGTTGAGAATTCCATGTTCATGACCTAGTGTCATCAGGCTCAGGTCGACCCAATATTAAAATTCATACTAACACTTGCATTTTGCCGTGAAAAATAATAAAATATCAAAATACATATATTTAAGCTCTTAGAATATTTTATTTTGAACTTTTTATTACTTTTAAATACATATAACAGTATTATGAATAATATAAAAAATTAAATATGTACCACTTTTGAAAAAAGTAAGTTAATTATGTGATATAATTAAAAACTTGTTCAAAAATATAAGTTTATATACTAAAAATTAGTAATAAGAAAAAAAATTAAACATAACTTTATTTTTAATACACATTATTTTTCATGCTATAGTGGATGACTTTGAAAAACTCTTACGTTAGCAGGTTGAGGTTGGTCTGGTCAGGTTCGGGTTCAGTCGAGTTTGACGCTTTTTTAGCAGGTCATTTCAGGTTCGGTCAACAAAATGTTTGTTCAAAAGCAAATGTTTTTGGGTCGTTCAACGAATTCTCTAGCGACTCCCTTTGGTCGTTCCTTACCCTCTCGGCGGTCAAAAACAGGTCCAGTCAATTTTTGCTAGCTAGGGGAAGGGAGAAATTAGTACGAAGTCTAGGTTTACTCTTTTGGGCCTCTTTGAGCCAAATTTTGGCCCAATAATATATTATATCTTATTCTATGAACATGTTAAGCGGTTTGATGTGAAATTAATGATTAATTTGAGATATATATTATATTTCTTATCTATTTTTTTAATTGAGTAATTGTTATTGTTTGTGAATATTTTGAACATATATATATATATATATATATATATATATATATATTCTACAAAGATATATTAATATAAATAAAAAAATATGTGATTATCTTTAATGATATACTTATACAGAGTATTTATTTTTAAAAAAATTATGGAGTATTACTTATTATGATTTGTCGACTAATCAGCGACTAGTCGGCCGACTAGTCGACTAGTCACCTAGTCTCTTCCACACCAACTCGACTTGACTTGTCGACTTGATAACCATGCTATATATGCATCTGACATTCGTAGTATCCACATGTGAAGATTAATATTGAGCTGCCAATTGTCACTCTTAAAAAACTCACTCTAGTTGTCATCAATAACTAGTTTCCCTATTCTTGTTTCTTGGTATTTCGGTTAGGGCAATAGGCACTTCTTTGTATATATAGCTTTAGTTTTCTCATTTGTAGGACAGACTTTTTCCTTCCATTATTGAATACAAGCTTCCATTTCTGTTATTTCATTTCTTTATCATATCTTGGTTTCTTGTTGAGTAAGAATATTAATATGGTATTAGAGCCACTCTCGAATGGCGTTTTGATTTTTGAATCGATCAAATTGATTTGATTCTGTTCATCTGTATTTGTTCCTCTTAGCCTTGGCAAAAGAAAATACTTCCACGAGATCTTCAATTGACATTCAAAGTGAATTGCACCTACACCCTACTGAATTACCAAATTTTTTGGTAGCTTCTCAAAAATAGAATGGTGAAAACTTTCCGCAACGGAAACGATCTGCTGAGATCGCATTGAGCGCGAGAAACAAAATAGGTTTTGTGGATGGAAGCTCGAAGGCCCTTGAATCCTCCTCTCCTTTGTTCACACAGTGGAATCATCACAATAACATGGTAATCTCTGGGATTTTGCATCCAGTTGAATCTGGAAGTGCGAGTAGTGGGTTGTATTGTGAATCTGCTAGAGAGTTGGGACTTGGGAGGGCCTTGCTGAACAATTTGGTCAGACTAACGCACCAAAGCTATTTCAGCTTTATAGGGAAATAGTGACTTTGGTGCAAGGATCAGATTTTGTTTCAGAGTACTCCACTAAACTGAAAGATTTTTGGGACAACTATCTAGCAATGGTGACTTTACCACATTGCAAGTGTGAAGGTGCAGGAAGCTACACCAAACTCCTTCAGGACAAGCAATTAATGCAGTTTTTGATGGGGCTTAACAACTGTTTTAAGAGCGCTAAAGGAAATATCTGGATGATGAAGCCTCTTCCAAATTTACCAAATTTAAGTCAGGCGTACAAACTGATTTCTCAGGAAGAAACTCAGAGAAATAGTAGCAGTTCTGCTCCTTTAGCCAATGAATCTAGTGCTTCGGCTTCACTGCATCATGCTTTCAGCACTTCATTTGGATCACTCCTAGTGGAAGAAAGTCTAAATTCTTTTGTCAGCATTGCAAAGTATATGGTAATTCTGTTGAAAAATGCTTCAAAATACATTCATATCCCAAATCTAACAAGGGATACGCTCCTTCAGTTGATCAAAATTCATCTCAGAGAAAGAAGCTTGCTGGGAGTGCTTTCTGAGGAAAATAGGAATGTGAATGGGCATACTGATAATTCCAATCAGACCCCCCATCTGCTGAGCTACCCATGACTCTCACTAGCTCTCAATATAGTCAACTGATTGCTCTTTCAAGTAAGGAGAATTTTCATGACAATGATGATGCTAGAGCTCCAGGGTTTCTTCATATAGAAACTGTGAAGTTACAAAATGGAATTGAACTTGATGTCCTTCATGTTCCAAATTACCCCTTTAATCTTCTTTCTTTCCAGAAATTGGTTTCCCAAATGTCTTGTTCATTGCTCTTTCAACCTTCCCATTGTTTAATTCAGGACCACATGAAGAGGAATACTCTGCTGGTTGGTAAACAGCATGGGTCCTGTATTTTGTGTAGCAACAAACATCCTCCACTCCACATGCCTCTTTTCATTCTTATATGTCATGTATGCCTCTTTTATTTTATGATTATTTTTTAATAAAATAAAATTAGTTAATTCATATATTAGAATAATCACTCATATTATAATGTAATAATATTTTTTATTTTATTATTATTTTTTTGTGAAATTAGAATATTAATTTAATATTTTAATAATTACTTCATATATACATTAGAATAAATATTTAATTTATATATACATTAAAAAGTAATTAAATTTAGATAATCAATATATAGAAGAGATAGTACTTTTATTAAAATATCTCATCCTTATAAAAGATCAAAACTTTAGAAACTCAAATTACAGGTAGCAATAAAAATGTATTTTAAAAGTAGAATTAGATTGACATTGTCAATGTATTTTAAAAATAATTTTTCCGACGTCTAATAATTAAGGATTACTTTCTTAGTTTTCTGTTTAACTTGTTTCTAAAGTTTATTCTTTTTCATTTTTAATAATAATAATAATAATAATAATAATAACAATAATAATAATAATAATTCTTGATGGGATCTTGATCTGATCTGATTCGATCTGATCTCATCTGATTCGATCAGATCTGATCTGATTTTAATAAGAATAAGAAAAAATAAGAAAAAGTAAGTTGAACGGAACGGGGCCTAAAGACTTCAACACAATTACAAAATAAACCCCCTAACTATTACTGAATGTCAAGATTGGTCCAACACATATGAATTGTTTTTCAACATCCTCCCACATAAGACCATCACAGATCCTTTGGATGCTTATGCTTTGCTAGCACATTGTCCTGTCTCAGAACCAAATTTGCTCCTAGAGTTGTCACTTGTGTATTTCTTGGTTATCCTTTCCACAAGAAGGTATATAAACTTCTTGATTTACGCACTAGGCAGGTCTTTTACAGCAGAAATGTCAAATTCCATGAACATTGTCATCTTTTTCATCACACCTCTTGAACGGTTCAACCTCTTCATCCATTCTGCCTAATTTGCCTCCTCACTCATCCAACATCTTCTTTCACCCTACATATGATTCTGATACCACAATCCATGATAATACTGATGGTTCACCTTCCTCAGATCCTTCTCCTCTTGATTCTTCTCCTTCATCATTACCAAATAACCAATCCCCTTCTTCTTCAACCTTACATAACCATTCCACTTCTCCTTCCCATAGTTCAGTTCCTCCTCCACCCAGAGCATCTCCTGGAATAAGAAAACCACCTTCCTACTTAGAATATTACAAATGTTCTATTCTCAGACATCAGTTTCACTCTAATGCTTTAACTTCTCACCGGTGCAATTTTGCTCATTTAAATAGCCTTTCCCAAGATCATCAAGCTTTTCTTACCCACCTTTGTTTTTGAACCCACTTCTTGTTCTTAGGCTTCCAATGATCCTAGATGGATTGTTGCTATGAACAAAGAGATAACAGCTTTGCAGGGTAATGATACTTGGGAACTTGTCCCAAGCAAATGGGTTTATAAAGTGAAACTCAAATATGATGGTACATTGGAATGATTCAAACCCAGGCTTGTCATTCAACGAAATCATCAAAGATATGGTATTGATTTTATTGAAACTATTTCACTTGTGGTCAAGACTCAAGATGTCCATCAGATGTCTTATTGCACTGGCTGCATCAAGAAAATGGGAGCTTTCTCAACTTGATATCAACAATGATTTTTTGCATGGAGATTTAAATGAACAAGTATACATGAAGCTTCCTTTGGGTTTTCCTAATCTCCCTACCAAAGTTTGTCGCTTAAAGACGTCACTTTATGGACTCAATGGTTTCACAAGTTGTCTACTACCTTTCACAGCCAAGGCTACAACAACAACAACAAAGCCTTATCCTACTAGGTGGGGTCGGCTACATAGATCAAACGACGCCATTGCGCCCTATCACGTATCATATCTGCTGTGAGATCATTCACGCGAAGGTCCTTCATGACTACTTCTTGCCAAGTCTTCTTAGGTCTACCTCTTCCTGTAGACACATGTCTATTCATCATTTGATCAACCCTTCGGATGCTTTATTGGTCTTCTATCCATATGCCCAAACCACCTAAGGAATTTCCACCATCTTTTCCACAATGGGTGCCACTCTACCTTTAGCACTCATTTCTTCATTACTTATTCTATACGTGTATGACCACTCAACAATTAAGCATCTTCTTTTCCGCCACACTAATTTTGTGTTCATGTTCACCCTTTGTTGCCCAACACTGTGTTCCATACAATATAGTTGGTCTAATCGCAATACAGTAAAATTTTCCCTTGAGTTCTAAACATATTCGTCACATATAAAGCCCGAAGCACTCTGCCATTTTGACCAACCGGCTTGAATCTTGTGGATCAACCTCTATTTCTCCATTGTCTTGAATGATACACCCAAGATATATAAATCTATTTACTTGTGATATGGTATTTTCCCCAACTTCCACCTTAATGTTACTATGTCTCCTTCCATTTCCAAACTTGCACTCCATATACTCTATTTTAGTGGGACTTATACACAAGCCATGCAACTCCAAAGTCTCTCTCTATGAACCCAACTTCTCATTCAAACTCGTGATTTGCCAATAAGAATGATGTCATCGAAAAAAGCAAGCACCATGGTACGGGTTCTTGGATACACTCGATAAGAACGTGCAATACTAATGTAAAAAGATATGGGCTTAACAATGACCCTTAGTGTAATGAATGTAATCCTACACCGATGGGACATTCTGTTGTTACCCCACTTTGACTTCTCACAATCCTTGTAGCACCATCGTACATGTCTTTAATTGCACAAATATATGCAATCCTTACTCTTTTTTTCTCTAAAACCTTCTAGAAAAGTTCTCTTAGGGGGTGTTTCTCTGTGCTGGTTCTTATTGGCTTATTGCTGATAAGCACTTTTTTAACTTATAAGCTGCTTATAAGTCAATATTCTTTTGTAGAAGTAAAATGACTTAAATGATAGATTAATCATTTGTAAATATTCATAAATGGTGAGGGACAGCTTTGTAAATAATCTGGTCAAAACGAAAAAACGAAAAAATTGGCTTAAAAATAAGTAGCTAAGACCTATTTATTTTTTTGGCTTATAAGCAGCTTATAAGTCAGCTTATAAGCACACAGACACATATATTTAGCTAACTTATAAGTTAAAAACTGCTTATGAGCAGTTTTGACCTGCTTATAAGCACAGAGAAACACCCACTTAGTACCCCGTCATTCATATGCCTTTTCTAAATCAATAAAGCCATGTGTAAATCTTTATTCTCACTTCGGTACCTCTCCATCATTCTCCTCACTAGGTATATAGCTTATGCAGTTGGCATAAAACCAAATTGGTTCTCTGACCCCGAAGTCTCTTGTCTCAATCTCTGTTCCACCATTTTTTCCAACTTCATGACTCATGAGCTTGATCCCTCTGTAGTTTCCATAACTCTGAGTATCCCCCTTATTCTTGTAAATAGGGACCAAAATACTCTTCCTCCATTTGTTAGGCATCTTTTTAGATCTTAGAATCTCGTTAAAAAGCTTAGTTAGCCGCCGAATGCCTTTTCCGCCTAAAGCTTTCCAAACTTCAACCGGGATGCATGGGCCTACAGCTCTGCTATTCTTCATCCGTTTTGGGGCCTCCTTAACTTCACAACAAAGGCTACACACAATCTAAATCTGACCCTAGTTTGTTCATGAAGTATACAACTGATCAGATTACTCTTGTTGTTATTTATGTTGATGACGTCCTTGTCACTGTTCCAGATCCTATCGTCATTGCTTCATTCAACAAGTTCCTTGATGATAGTTTCACCATCAAAGATCTGGGTCTTGCACATTATTTTCTTGGCTTTGAGCTCACTTATACCTCCTAAGGGATTGTTCTTTCTCAAAGAAAGTTTACTTGGGAACTCCTTGCTGAACATCAGTGTTTACATGCCAAGCCTGTGAAAACACCTCCCCCTCAGACCATCTAATTCTAGCATGGTGATTCATTTGCTTCTTCTGACCCAACTATTTACATGAGCTTGGTAGGAAAGGTCAACTTCCTTACTCACACAGGCCTGATATTTCATATTTAGTTCAGATTTTGAGTCAAATTATGCAAGCACTCGAGGATTTACACATGAAGGGTGTCATTCATCTTCTTCAATATCTACTTGGCACCATAGATCAAGGCATTCTGATGAAGGGATCTCACAAGTTATCTCTACATGCCTTTTCTGATTCTGATCGGGTTTCATGCCCTTTTTCAAGGAGGTCTGTTACTGGTTACATGATCCTTCTTGGAGGTTCTCAAAAAACAAAGTAAAGTTTCAAAGTCTTCGTTTGAAACAGAGTATAGGGCTATGTCCCAAGTTGCATCTGAAGTTACTTGGCTGGTGCATATACTGGAAGAACTTCGTGTTTCTAATCTGAAACCTATGACACTCCACTATGATAATCAGTCTGCTATCCACATTGCCAAGAACCCAGTTTTTTTATGAAAAAACAAACTCACCAAAATATTACCTGCTGACCAGTTTCAACATTTATTATCCAGCTGGGTATGGTTTCTCCCTCACCCAGCTTGCCTGGTTTTGTAAAAAATAAAACCTTGAAAATGAATTTCAAAAACTTAAGCATCAAATTTGACTTGAACGTGAAACCTGCCATCTGGGATTTGAACATCTGCCCGTCTTCTAAGCTTTGGATAGTGTTTTAGATCTAAAAAAACTAGAGCAAAACTATGAACTTGAACACATATTTCAATGGAATGCAAACAGGTCGCGTCAATTGTCTGTATGTGTAGACTAGATGTATAAAGTGATATATGAATTGACATACTGTAGAGGGGAGTTCAGTTTTTTTGGTTTGGTTTCACATAAAAAGGCCAACCCTAAGATTTCCTGAAGCAAACAAAAAAAATTCAGTTCAGTTTACAAATTCATAACAATTAGCAAAAATTTCAAATAAAGATTTTCAATTTTTCACATGACAAATTCATACAACAAGTTGTCAAATTCACAACAAAAATTCATAACAAATTCATAACACAAATTTATAAAGATTAAAGATTTTTCATTTTTACACATAACAAATTGTAAAACTCTTAAAGAAATTCTGAAATGGGTATTTTTTTACTTCCGTACCTGGACTCCTGAACCTGGAGGCTGGAGAGTTTCCGGCGAGGCGGCGTCTGGCGGGAAGCGGCTAGACTCTGCACTGCAGTGGAGCATGCAGGCGGGCGGCGGCGACTCTCTCTCGGCGACTTCCTTCTGCCATCTTTTTCAATTTCCGTTCGTGCTTTCTACTTCCGCTTTCTTTTCTGTGGAACGGAAATAGGAGGGCTTTGGGCTTTGTCTGGGCTGGGCTTCAATATATATATAATATTTAAATTATATTAGGCCCATTAAATTGTTGGGTCCGGCCCAGTCAGGCTGCTCGTCCCCCTAATGGGCTGGCCCTGAAACTGACAAAATGTTTCAATCTAAAAGTGAGTACACGCCTTTCAGAGATTCCAAGTACTAATTCTGATTTTCTAACATTAACTAGTATTTTTATCCATGCCATGCACAGATGGAACAAAATTTTGTTATATTCTACAATACTTGAGAGACATTGTTCTTTTGGATTATGACTTTCAAAGTTTTTTATGTCGAGAGAAAATTTTTTTAGAGAATCTAATTTCCTACATTTAGTTGCATAAATGGAAGAAATCACTTTTTAGAAAAAATAAGAGTAAATTCCATAAAAGGTCCCTAGTTATAGGTCGTTTTACATATTTAATCCCTACATATCAAATATTACTAATTTAGTCCCTAATTTATATATTGTTTTTCTACAAATGGTCCTTTGTTAATATTTCAGTTAAGAACGTGGATAAAATTGTAAATTCACACTCTTTTCTCTCCTCAATTAAGCTTCTTCCCTCCTCTCGAACTCCTTTCCCAAACTCGTCGCTGATTTTGAGGCTTTGAACCCAAAACCAAAAATCATCACTCTTCTCTCAATTGTTTGTCTAGCTGGTGGAATCGAAATTCAAAACTAGTAACCTTCATTGATGAGTTTTAATGTTTATTTTCTTTTCAATTTCTTGAGACTAACAGATAAAACTCATCCATAAAGTTTATGGTTTTGATTTTAGATTCCACGAGGAAGACTAATAATTGAGAGATGAATGATCATTTCAGTTTTGAGTTTACAGCTTCATACTCAGCGAGGAGTTTGGGAAAGAGTACGAGAGGAGGGAGGAAGCTTAATTGCAGAGAGAGAAGTATGAATATACAATTTTATCCATGTTCTTAACAAAAACGTTAACAAACGTGAAAAATGATATAATAATTGGGGACTAAATTAGTAATATTTGATATATAAGGACTAAATATGTAAAACGACATATAACTGGGGACCTTTTATGGAATTCACTCAAAAAATAATTTATTTTCTATGGATGGATGTTTATTTTCTTTATAACTACTTGAGACCACTCATGCTACAAACAAAGCAAAGAACAACTCTTACCCCGTCCCCTTCCCCAAACCATATGGAGCTCTACAATAGAGATTTGGTACTGATCGTGTGTGAAAATAATACAATAATGTTGTCTTTAATTTTGTAAACCTTTTGATCTAGTTTTTGAATATGTACTTTTTGTTATTTAATTTTGTTGGTGTAATCAACCATCTAGCATTTGTTTACTTGATTGGTTACAAAGTTTGTTAGTTAGTTAGGAAGATATTTTTGTTGTTACATGTTTTTCATTTTCTATATATAGGAGTTAATCATGTAATACAAAAATTGAGCTAGTTAATACACTTAATTCCAACATGGTATCAGAGCTGGTTGCTATACCTCCAAGCAATCACTCCTTATCTTCAATTTTCTCTCTCACGCTTCCCAATTCTTCTCTCCATCTTCAATTTCGATCCTAGAGATTTCCGTCTACAAAGCTGAATCGTCAACTACATCACGGTATTCCCTCCTCCTCCTCCTCCAATGGCATCTTCTACCTCTGGATTTATCGCCGCCGTTCTACTCATCATCATCCTAAACCAATCTGAGGCCGTCTCCGCCGTCCAAAGGCTAGAGATGGACTCAATATGTTGACAACTCTGAGAAGAAAAGCCACGGTCTCTCTATCAAAGCGATTGTCACCTCCGACCTCTTGTACGATCTCGTCGGCGGTGGAGAAGCCGTTGTCACTGTCTTAGCCCCGACCGTTGCATCTCTCTTCGAGCTCGAGATGGTGAATTCGGATCTGCATCCGATTACACCAACAAAGGAAGCAGCAGGAGGTCTCTTCGCAATCTCGCCGTTGATTTTGAATCCGAGGCAAAACTAAGCCGCCTCGCTCATCAATCTCAGCATCTTCATCAGCTCCTCGCTTCCCCTTACGAAAATTCCCGGCAATGACCGGACCAGAAGCTGGAATTGATTTGTCGGCCGCGCTATCTCGAATTGGGAGGAGAATTCGAGGTCGATTAGGCACCGCGCAGAATCGGATCTGAGAACGTCTAAGAATTCATGGCCGCCGGTCGTGATTCCGTCGCTCCTCTCCCATTTGGTCTTACACACGGTGGCTGTGGTTCCGTCTCTGAAGATCCTCTATTATGGGCTCTCCATTCTTCCGGCCTCCTTCACCTATTGATCTCTCCAATTCAGATTGAGTATCAACTTCATTTTCATCCTCAATGGCAGCCCTTGATCGCTGCAATTCCTGTCTAAGATTTTCAATTTCAGCATTAATAGTTGGAGTTTGTTGCAAATCTGTATTCATCATTTTCAGATCTTCAGTCATCCCCTGGATCTCGGTTGTGTGCTCCTGTTTAGCACCATTTAAATCTTTAATATCTGCACACACTCGCATAAGCTCAACCCTCATAACTTCTACAAATTGGAGATTTATCTCCATCTTTACAGACTTTTCATGAAGTTCTCTTATCTTCATTTTCATTCTCATCATTGGAATGTTCAGTTTCAATCATTCTCTTTCACTTCTCTAAGTCAGAAGTTTCATCATTATTCAATTTCACTCAATCAGTTTGATTGAGCTTCACTCGTATCGTTTTGATCGAGTTTCCCTTTCATCATCATCCGGTTTTCGGTTGATTTCATCAATTTCTTTTGTCAATTGGTTTCATTTCATCATTTGATGTTTTCATTTGAATTCATCAATTGATTTGTCATCTCATCTTCATCATTGGTTGTGTATGGTTCACTTTTCTGTTCATTCTAGAGAACCATGGCAGCCATCACTAGCACATCACTACTTTTTATCACCTCATGTCTTTAAATTTTATCTCTGGACATGGGAATGATGCTATCTACAGTCAAAAGTATTGCTTTTTCCATTCAACAGAGAGTTGTGTCTCTCAACTTCAGAATCAAGGAATTTTTTTTGGGTTGCCAAGCCTGAAATTATGGAGAAAATTCTCTCCACTGTTATGTAGCTTGCAAACCCGATGTCAATGAAGAGATGATTTGCGATATCAAATGATTCAGGTTGCTGTAAGTTGGCCTCTCAATGTCTACGGACTGCATACAGATGTCATATATTGCCTCATTGTCTAAAAATACATCTGTGTGGAAAAGACGTTATTGTATGGCTCAACAACAGCAGTTGATACCTAAGGAGATGGATATATGGCAAGTCCAAGTTTTTGATTTCTTTCACAATCTACTGACAAATACTGCAAAAGCAAGGATCCTAAACGAGAAGCTTGTTGTTTATGCCTCTTCCATGGTCAATGGATTTTCATCTACATACACATCGAAGTCAACACAGATTTGATTCAGTTGCAAGTTGAAGTTGTTCCCACCTTCAACTTGAGGGGGAGTGTTGGTGTAATCAACCATTTAGCATTTGTTTACTTGATTGGTTACAAAGTTTGTTAGTTAGTTAGGAAGATATTTTTTGTTGTTACTTGTTTTTCATTTTCTATATATAGGAGTTAATCATGTAATACAAAAATTGAGCTAGTTAATACACTTAATTCCAACAAATTTTACACGAATTATCATGTAAAATGAATCAAAACTAATTTCATTCAAACATCGTAACGGAAGAAGATGAAGAGAGTATTTATTAAAAAAATTCATACACTAATAAATATTTTAGTAAAATTAGTTAAAATTTGGTACATTAAATTCTTTAAAATATTTTTTTTTAAAATTCAATAATTCAAGAAAATAACATAACTTATAGATATTTCGATGTAGTTTGATTGAATATATAATTGATATCACTATATTATTTTACTCAAAAAAATTTAAACAACAAATATCATGTGTAATTTTTAAGATTAATTGAAATTTAGGCAAAATTATTGTAAATGATAAATTTTAATTAATAAGTTTTAAAAAAGTAATTATCATTTTGAAAAATGAATAAAATGGTCATTGAAAATAGAAGAATTAAAAAAAAGAAATAAGAATTCAATTCTTTTGGAATCCATGTTTGTTTTTAATGTTTTTGACATGTAAACTTTTTTTTATTCCTCACTTGGCATGCCAAATATTACTTGTCAAAAAGTGACCCCACAGCTCCACCACATGTCATGCCTCATGTCCCCCAAATATTGTGTTCCTGTAGCTCGGGGTCTGCTTTTTATATATTAAGGATTAAGGATATAGTGTTTAATCTGTGCAATGCATTTTTGTTAAACGACTTTTTTCCTGTAATTTATCTTAAGTATTTCTATGGCTTTGTTATCTTGGACTTTAACTCTTAAGATATGTTTTGTTGGGAGAAAAATATTTTTCCAAAAAATCGAAGTTTCATTTCCTAGGTTTGGTTACATAAGTGGTATGAAGGGCTTATTTTCGATTAGTGTTAGCGTTTTGGATAAGAATTTAACTATGCAAATCAACTTTTAAAGCGCTGATGCTAAACGTTGTCCGTTGAAAGTCTTTTAAAAATGCTAACACTAATATCTAATATTTCCCAAACATGCCCGAAATTGTTTTTTAGGAAAACTACTATCCCCCGAAAACGAACAAATAAATTTGGTTTGCTTTGATAGAACTTCATTTTCTTACTCACTCTTTTTTCTATTTTTCTTTTATTTTATATCTTTTTTCTATTTTTTAATTTATTTGACAAAAAGTGTTTAACCTGAGACATATAATTTATATGATTTCTATTTTGATCTTTTCTTTCAGTTGTTTCCGCTAAACTAATTATAATTTAGAAACACTATAAAGAATATTTTATAAAGAGAAATAAAAATGAATAAACATTATGATAATGGTCTCTCGTACCCTTGTGGTTTGAAAAATTAGCATCAGTGCCACTTCATCTCCAGAAAAAATGAACGGAAAAACAGTCTAATGGGATATTTGTGCAACCTTTTGAAACGATTAGGTTTTATGAATAAGTTTTAAAAATAGACGGGGCAATGTGGCATTCTTAACTATTTTTCAAACCACATGAAACATTGAAACTTTGTTTACATATTCTATTCAAAATTTTATTGTCACTTAGTATTTTAAACTAAACAAATCACCTTAAATAGAAGTATAACATAGAAAAAAATACTAAAAATAGAACTTTCATATTTTTAACCCAAAATAGGAGTTTGCTTTGTGTCAATGTGACACTGTACATAGACATTTCACATTTTTAGTATTATACGTGAGCATGATTGACATTGTAAATACATGTTAACTCCTATTTTGAGAATAAAAACATGCAACTCCAATTTTGATATATTTTATACTCCCTCCGTCCCACTCTTTTTGTTCACTTTCATTTTTGCACATCATCCAATGCACTTCTTTAGTCCATTTTATCTTGTAATTTGTATATTAAAAAAATATAAAAATTATATATTAATAATCTATATGTTAAGACAAATCAAACAAGATCACACATGACTATTTTTAGACTTACACATTGAAAGAATTTGATGAGTCAAAGTGCTTAGATGAACAGTTCCAAAAGTCAAAACTGGACAAAAAGAGTGGGACGGAGGTAGTATGTTTTACTCTTAGTTTAGTTTTTTCCTTTTAAATTATAAACTTATGATTATGAAGAAATAGAGTAACTACACACAATATTTATTTATAGATGGTTTCTATATTTAGTCTCTTATACTAAGGAATTGCATAAATTATTCTCAATTTATGAAAACTATTCCATAATATATCTTTCAGGAACTATATGCGGAAAAATATTTTGTCATATTGTCCTAAGGACCACAGGGAAAATGTGAAAAGGTCTACATTTCAAATGTTATCCTTAGGACCATGTATGCATCACTCTTGTCGTAAATGACTATTTATGGAATTATTTTCAAAAATTGAGGACCACTTATATAAACTTATATTTTTATAACTTGGTAAATATAAAACTTTACTTTAAATAAGGCAAAAGTTTGGATTTAATCGTAATTAAAACTTATATTTAGATTAAAGTATCATCCCAAATTAGCTTTAGTTATGGAAAAAATATAAATTTTTAATAAGGTAACTAAGGCATAAATTAGAAAAGGCATAAGTGTTTTTATTAAAGTTATAAAATGAGTAATTATAACTAATAAAAATGTAACAATAAAAACTAATTATTAGCACATACTCAAAAAATGACATGGCGTGTTGATGTGTCAAAAAATGGACACATGTGTTGTCCACTTGTCAAACTCTCATGAAGCGAGTATCAAATATTAGAGTAAATGATTTTACTCAAAAGCAAACCAAGAAGATAAAGAAGATCAAGTCACTGCGTATTCAAATAAAGAATGAAACTCGAGGGTCTAAAAGCAGAAAACATGGTTGTATATTTTGGGGAGCTCAATTTTATAGATTTCAATCTTTAAAAAATCATGACTGAACAAATATACTTATACAGTTATACCTTAGATCTAAAATTTCACAACCAAATGCGCAAAGAGAAACATGAACGCATGCCTGAGATGACTAATGAGCGAGTATTTGCGAAGAAATAGACTTTGCCAATCCTTCTTCACTTCAACCAGGTCCGGTTGCGCACAACAAGGTCTTCAGCCTAAAACTCGGTGCCCGTCGATCAAACTTTGAAGCCCAAGACGACCGTTGTCGATTACCGTTGGTGGGCGAGAGAGAGTGGAACGGGGGTTGTAACTCCTCCAAGACTTTGAATGAGAGCTTAGGGGGGTGTATTCAATCAAGATTGTGTAGTATTTTTTGGATTTCAAAAGTATGTGGATAATCAATTCAGGTTTTAAAAAGTCATTTAAAATCTGAGTGTATTCAATTCAGATTTTAATATATCTTTCTAAATCTAATGGTATTCAAAAATCAAAAGATTTTAAAAGATTTTGGTAAAATATGGATTTTGATGGATTTTGGGCTTTGGGTATAAATTGAAATCTAAGTCCAAAATCTAATAAAAAATTGAAAGATTTTCCAACTCCACGTTAGACTCTTGGACTAATCTCCTTCTCTATCGGCGACTACATTTTGACGTCGCATCAAAGACTGTGTGTTCTTCATCCCTTCTTCTTTTCTTATCTCCTCTATGAGTTCTTCCTCCTGTCTATTCAAGCCATATTTTTAGGAGCTGGAAGCATCAAAGTCTGGCTTCCGTGGTACGCAAGGAGGCGCAGGGAAGCTGCTGTCCACTTGGTGCTAATGCGAGAGGGATTCCCTCATCCGAACTAGACACCATTTTTTGGTGGGTGGCGAGATGGTGGTGGTAGAGGCGGCGAGGGATCGGCGGTAGTGAATCTTGGTGACAAGGATGGTGGTGGCTTCTTAGCAAGGAAAGAAAGGAGATAGAAAAAGAGAGAGATCGTCTAGGGTTGGGGAGGATGACGGAAAAAAGGAAAAAAGGGAAAAAAAGGAAAAAATCCATCAAAATCCTAAAAAATCATGATGATATATCATTCCTCATTAAACCTTGGGTCATACATTCTATTTGCATCTCGCCATCTTCTAATTGTTTTTTGGTTTTATGATGTGAGATTGATTGATTGTATGGGTTCCAATTCCCTTTGTGTGTAGCGGGACAATACCCAGCCTGTCCATGTACAAATTCTTTCGTTTGAATGGAAGTGTTTTTTTCATGTCCATATAATTCTTTAAAACAACGGTTATTTGATTGTTGTATAAATTTTTCTCGAAAGTATCTAAGTAAAGTTAGAGAGCGTATACATTTTCATTGTAAGAATTATTGCCGTTTCTCTAAACTTTTTAAATTGTTCTAGGCTCTTAAAAGCTAGAATACTGTTTAAAACGAGTATTCCTAACTTATTATAAACAACTCTTCCAAAAAAACATCTCACAGACAATTAGTATTAGATTACTATTTTCGGGGACTTTAAAAATAGTTGTACGCTTATTACGCACAATTCTCTTAAAAATAGTTTTCTTTACTTATTATAGATAACCGTAAAAAAAATGGTGTGACACATACAACTAGTAATACATTACGGTTTCTCAAAACTCTTAAAATAGTTCTAGGCTTAATAGTCTAACTATTGTTTAAAAAGGGTATTCTTAATTTATTATAGACAACATTTAAAAGATTACGGCTTCTATGAATTTCAAAAACAGTTCTACGCTATATAAATACACTATTGTTACATGAGGGTCTTCTATTCTTATAATAAACAATTCTGCAAATAAATCATACGAAAGATACAACTAACAATACAATACTATTTTTTATAAGTTTAAAAACATTAATACATCGGGAAACCAGACTTCAGTTATTAAGTAGTAGTCTTAACTAATTTTTGACAACTGTGGCAATAGAAACTATTTTTTTATGAAACCAACTACTAATGATAGATGACCGTTTCTCACAGCTTCAAAAACGGTTCTACCCATAATACATAAACTATTGTTGGCAAACAGTCTTCTATAACAATTATAAACATTAGTGGCAAAAAAACAATATGAAACAGACAACAAGCAATAAATAACTGTTTCTA